GAGCGGCTATGCCCAGCACAAGAATAGTGACTGACACGTAATAAATATATGCTGAATGGATCAATTAGAAACTCAGACACTGGGCACCTGGGTGGCTCAGTTGGTTAAGCGACTGCCTTCGGCTCAGGTCGTGATCCTGGAGTCCCGGGATCGAGTCCCGCATCAGGCTCCCTGCTCGGCAGGGGGGTCTGCTTCTCCCTCTGACCCTCTTCCCTCTCGTGCTCTCTGTCTCTTATTCTCTCTCTCTCAAATAAATAAATAAAATCTTTAAAAAAAAAGAAACTCAGACACTTTCTTATCCAGAGTTCCTGCTTCTTGCTTCCTAATTAGAGCAGCTTAGTTATATTGGTAAGATTTACATATCACATCAATCCCCTTCTCAAAGACCTCTTACTATGCTTTAGTTAGATCCAATTCCTCATCTTGACCTACCAGGCCCTGTACAGCCTGACACCTGCCTTCCTCTCCATTCTTAGCCCCAGCTCATACCACCCTTGCTACAACCATGAAGGACTCCTACCTGCCTCAGGGCCTTTGTATGTTCTATTCTGTGAGAGAAACTGAGAAAAGTCCCCTGGAAGGTTCTTCCTCAGCTTTTGGCATAGTTGGTTCATTCTTATTCTTTTGGCCTCATCTAAAGGCCACCTCTTCAGAGGCCTTCTCTGATAATCTTCTCAAAGTTAAACTCTTTCCTCTACCCAGTTCCTCTCTATTCTACCATATAATTTTTTTTAGTACCACTTACCATAATTCATAAAGTTCTTGCTTATCTTTTGTCTCCCCACTAGCACGTAAACTCCGCAAGGGCAGGAACTTCATGTCTACCGAGTCCCCTGCTATATTCTCCAATGCCCTTGCTCATAATAAGTGATAATTTAATTAATATTTGTGGAATAAATGAATAAGGAACATTTAATTCACCAAGACTCAGAAGCAGCACGGGCTATTCATTAAGATACCTAATTCCAGTTTTTGCTGAATGTAGGAACTGGTTTTAAAACAGAAATCCACAGATAAGTGTTTAAACTTTCAGTTATTAAGCCCCTAAATTTAAAAGATTACCAAATATGTAGCTTTAAATCATCATAACAGCTGTGGATAAGGTTTTGCATTATCTTGACTCTGCCAAAAAACCCTAAATTTTCAACTTTTAACTGGAGTCCATTTTAACAGCCCAAGTGAAAAAGGTAGATTTTTTTTTAATTTTTAAATTTTTAACTGGGTTTTAGGAGCCATTTAAGCCAATGCCAGGGAAAAACCTGCTCTTACAAATTCACTTCTAAAATACTTTAAAGCTTACCCCATCTAGTTCCATGAGGGGTTGGAGTGACAAAATCCAGGACCATTATCTTCTTGTCATATCTGGCTGCCTCCTGGAAAATAAAAATATTAAAATCAATTGGAGGGCGCCTGGGTGGCTCCGTTGGTTAAGCGACTGCCTTCGGCTCAGGTCATGATCCTGGAGTTCCGGGATCGAGTCCCGCATCGGGCTCCCTGCTCGGCGGGGAGTCTGCTTCTCCCTCTGACCCTCCCCCCTCTCATGTACTCACTCTCTCTCATTCTCTCTCTCTCAAATAAATAAATAAATAAATCTTAAAAAAAAATTAAAAAAAATAAAATCAATTGGAAAGGTAAACATGACAGACTAGAAACGGGCTTTTAAAACTCCAAGCTCTTCTTATTAAGCTGTAGTGCCTAAGGCATAACCAGTTATTATTGCCTTGAAATTTCAAATACAAGATGATTAGCATGACTCCAAGATAAAAATTAAGCAATATTCAGATAGTCATAAGGGCAGTTTTAAAGAATATGCAGAGTACAGTTATAAAATCGTCAGCTGAAAACATCAGAATCCTCTTTTTTTTAACACTAGAATCCTCTTACAAAATTCCACTCACACAATAATATATTAAGCAATAATCTGAAAAACCTGTGGTCATTTCTAAGCAAAAAGGTGAGTATCCAATAAAAAAGATTTATGACTGTCTATAACTCTTAATTCAATCTGTAGCCTATATACGTATTTTTTTAAAGTACTTTTAAGTTTTATCTAATTCAGTATCTAGGTAGATATTGGAAACATTTTTCTTCTAAAATTGTCAGATTTCTTAAAATTTCATGTGAAGAGCCAATAAAAAAGTTGATGATATCTATAAGGTTTCCAAGTCGATTTTAGGGGAGTGATGACAACAGTGAGAAGTTCATTTTGCAGAGTACCCTTTATCCTTCTCAGAGAATAAGCTTTGTGTATTGGCAACTAGACCTCCAGGTTATTTGAAAGGACTGAGTCTACATATCCTTTAAAACCAGGAGAACTAGAGTAAAATATATCTAGTATTACTCCTGTATCATTTACAGCAAAGTATTGCTTGATGCCAGACACTGGCCTACTCCTCATTTGGGCTGCTTCATTTGAATCTACCTTTACTGATCCACAAGCTACACCTTAGGGGAGTATAACCATCTCATCTTTTAAAAGTACCTGTTGGGGAAGGATGACAGGCCACAGGCCTCTCACACATGGAAAATGTATCTCAATTTAGGGCCAGAAGCCTCACTCCTTAACCTCCCTTATATATACATCCTCTACCGCCATTACCCCCAGGCTGGAGTTAGTGGTTATTCTCGTAGTTCAGTTCATATACAAAGGAGGAAAGCATTTTTAATGATTAAGTTTAAGAAATCCAATTGCTCTCCATTTTTCTATTGGGGAAGAGGACTTGTGAATAGGGATATCATCAAAGTGAAAACCTCATATTAATATTTATAAAGAATAAGATATTTAATTTCAAACCATTTCTATACACCTTTATTATCTTTGAAAAACCAGCCAAACTTAATATGAATCAAAATGTGTCCCAAAATATTAGGCCTGGTACTGTTATACAGAAGTACTTTCATCAAGAAGATACAGTTCAACTTGGAAAAATGATTTATAAAATAGTTCCTTTATAAACATGTCCTGCCCAAGTTAATGTGCAAAATGCCACAAGAGTGGCTCAAACAAATTCCAGGGAGAACCAGAAGTCTGCCAGGAATGTGACTATTCTAGCCATCATCCAGATAACACACAGGGAGCCTTGCCTTGGCGGCTGCCAGTCCTCCTGAGCCCCCTCCGATGATGATGAGGTCATAGTCGTAGGCCTCAGGGAGATCCTCAGAGCCATTCATTTTTAGTAGCTTTTGAAGTCTGCCCTCCTGATAAGCCTAAAGAAAAACAATGGAAGGGGAAATAACGTCACTTAAAAACATCAGTGTCTGAAGTTTTGTGAGAAAACCTTTCTTTAAAGAAAAGCAAAAGGAATTTTCAAAGGATCTGCTTTTGTTAGGACTGTCCGAATTCCTTTTCACGTGATGGAGAGCTAATGCTGAGATGTTCCTGCAGACTTCTACATACATTAGGGCGTGACATTCCAACAAGATCAACCTAGTCCTAAATCAAGTATCATCATCAGTCCTTTTTCCCTAGAATTATTACACCAAGATTCAAAGTAGGTTTTTAAAACACTTGTATGTTTTAATAAAACTATCAATTCCAGGGATGCCTGGGTAGCTCAGTCGGTTAAGCATCTGCCTTTGGCTCAGGTCATGATCCCAGGGTCCTCTGCTGTGCACTCAGCTTGTGCTCTCTCTCTCTCTGACAAATAAATACATGAAATCTTAAAAAAAAAAAAAACCAACTATCAATACGAGTCGGCAGCATCTTTATTTTCTATTGTCAAAGGTACCACAATGAGGGCGCCTGGGTGGCTCAGTCAGTTAAGCATCTGCCTTGGGCTCAGGTCATGATCCCAGGGTCCTAGGATGGAGCCCCACGTCAGGCTCCCTGCTCCGCGGGAAGCCACTTTCTCCCTCTCCCACTCCCCCTGCTTGTGTTCCCTCTCTCGCTGTGTCTCAGTCTCTATCAAATAGATTAAAAAAAAAAAAAAAAATCTTAAAAAAAAAAAAAGGTACCACAATGAGCAGGCTAAGGTCTCCCATTAAGACAGGGGCCTGGTAAATAGCAACTCAAACAGATTAGCCAAATAAGACTTTTCTACATTGCTTAGGTAAAAATTCAGAACAAAATCATGAATTGACATTTCCCTGCATGAGAAGTGTAAAAGTCCCTGATTTTCCAAGGCATTTTAAATAAGCAAAGAAAAAAAGGAAGATGGAGCAGGCTAAATAAATAAACATGACTCTGTAAAGCTTACTTCTTTAAGAACACATTTTATTTTTTTATGATATATATATTTTTAGTTTTTTAAGTAATCTCTCCATCCAACCTGGGGCTCAAACTCATGACCCCAAGATGCTCTACTGACTGAGCCAGCCAGGCACCCCTCAAGCTTACTTCTTTCATCTACCCATGCACGAGGCCTCCTGTAAGTTATTTAGGATTTAGTTTCCATGTTCTTGACACATAACAAGTTTTATGATATGAATATTATAGACTTTTAATTTTAAAAACCATTTCATCCCACTAGCTTTTATACCCATTTCATATTAGCTTGGAAGACTGTTTTGGTGATGTATTTAATATTAACTTTTATTAAAACAAAAATCTGTGCTGATGGGAGATAATGGTTGGAAACATTGTGAACAGGCACTAAAAAAGTTTTTGTAAAAATCCAATTTTAATCTCAAGAGTCAAAAAGAGTCCCCAAACTTACCAGCCCCGACTGTACATTTCCCTCCTGCCTACCATCAGCTGTAGGGGGCGGAAGGCAGAGCTTAGGATCAGTAGAGCAGGATGCCTGGGATGCGGAAGGGGGTGCAGTGGAGGAAGGTGAAGAAGGAGGCATGGCACTGTGGCTGGCCCTTGGCAGTGTGGCAGGTGCACATGACGGCTTGGGGACTGAAGGGAGAACACGTGGACACCAGCAACAGTGGAGACCAGACGGCATCACCCTGACCGTCTGTACAAAAGGTCTAACGTGAGAGGCTGGTAAACACAGCCAGTATTCATGAACTTGCATTATGGCAGAGGCTCCTCCTTCAATAGAAGGCACTGTTGAGGGGGGGAAACAATTTGGTAATAATAATAGCCATTCACATCAAAGGATCAATATAAGCTTCAGGTAACAAGCGTTACTCTCTAGTTGCTCTCAAAGAGCACAGGCTGACTTGCTGGCTTAAAAGGGTTAACTAATAAATGCAGCCAGATGTTCTTCTGGAAAAATAACATGACCATTTTTAATCTCAGCCTCAATTTTATCTGCAAGTACTTGACACAGACAGTGATAGAACACGGTCACTGGCTGTCTAAATGGAAACTACCCACTTCCTAACCAAACCCCCAACATATCTACTAGAAGAAAGAAAATGCACTGTCATGCTGAAAAGCCACATACTCCCTCCACCAATGTGTAATCTGTTCTGTACTGAAATTCTGGATCACACCAGATTCTTACAGTTCAAACTGGAAGTCAAATTGTATCAACCAGTGTACAGATTTTACAAAGAAAGCTGAGTGAGCCTGAACACTTAACTCTATAAAGTAAAATCAGTAAGACACAGGCAACTAAAGCATTCGACTAACCCCAGAACTAAACATGGTGTTTTAAAATTTTAATCCAACTTAAAACTGAAATTGCTGTCCATAAGGTCCAAGTTAAGTGGTTTCCCACCTGTAATATAAGATAGGTAGTAGAGCGCCTGGGTGGCTCAGTTGGTTGAGTGACTGCCTTCGGCTCAGGTCATGATCGGGAGTCCCTGGATCGAGTCCCATATCGGGCTCCTTGCTTAGCAGAGGGTCTGCTTCTCCCTCTGATCCTCCCCCCTCTCATGTGCACTCTCTCTTTCTCTCTCTCAAATAAATAAAGAAAATATTTAAAAAAAAAAAAGAAAAAGATAGGTAGTAAAAAACAGCTCCCCCAGGCAGGGTCAGGAAGGAGCATACAGATGGGTAAGGAGAGAAGGAGAAAAATGCCCCCTATTCTCCTCCAATTATGAGTGCTAGAAATAGTGACCACCAACTGTAGTAGCTGATAAAGAACAGGAGTTCTTAAACTTTTAGCCTCAGGATCCCTTTAAAACCTTAAATTATTTAGGACCCCGAAGAGCTTTGGTTAATGTGAGGTTTATTTATCAATTTTAGTAAATTAGAAATTAAAACTAAGAAAGAAATTTTAATATTAAAACATTCTAAGTTATTAAAATATTAAATACCTTAAGTATTACTGTTAAACATAACTTATTAACAATAATCTTTTAATAAGTGGGAAGAGTGGCATTATATCTTTGTAATTCTCTTTACTGTCTGTCTTAATAGAAGACTGCTGCTATCTTTTCTGCATTCAGTCTATTACAACCTGTCTGGAAAATTCTGTGGTAGACCTGCGAAAGAATTATAATGAAAAAGCATCTTAGTACTATGGAAATAATTCTGACTTCAAGGCCTTCCTCTTAGGGCCTCAGGAGGCCCCCAGAGGAATGCAGACCACACTTTGAGAACCACTGCTATAGGACTTAAGTGTAATTACACAACACCTCACACCTGCAGGTGTCTGCCAGCCTTACACACTGGATATTCTTCCATTTCTTCCATCTGCCTCTTTCGGGAACGCCTCTGCCCCACCCCACCCCTAGCGAAACACTGCTCCAGACTCACCTCTGAAAAGGCACAATACCAAAAGTAATTCAAGTGTATTAGATTTCTTTAAAATTAGAATAATCTTTATGTTGCCTTCCCCCCATACAGGACTCCTATCCACTGGACACAGACATGCACTAGTTTTTACCATTATACATTAGCTCTGGTGTTGAACTGACCTGGGTTAAATAAAATACTTGCTCTACCACTCTCTAAGCTAGGTGACATGAGCTAATCACCTAATCCTTAGGAGTCAGCTTTTTCATTTTGTAAAATGAAGTTAACCTACCGTTGTACTTCACCAGCCTTCACAGTGGCTAGTAGGAAAAATCTCTTTAGGTTACTAACTCTCCCCTTCCTAAAGAAGGGAAATTGCATGGTCAAAAAGCTCCTGCAGAGTTCAACAGATTCCCCTGCACCTCCCTGCACCACACCTCACCCGAAATGCCCTCTTCCCATCAAATCCTGATACAGTACATAAACCATTATGTTAAATTATTTTTATTCAATGTACACAAACACATCCCTTCCAAAGCATTCCTTTAGGGCTGGGGGACGGGGGGGTTCTTTTATCAACATTCTAAGACTCCAATACAATGCCCGTTTCTTCCATTAGGTCTCCCTAAAGTTCCCGAACATTCTCCTTTTGTTCCTTGGCACTCCATTAACACATTACCATATCCTTATACGAAGGAGGCAGAGGGAGACTTCACCACAGTAGTAAATGTGAAGACAGACCTAAGAAGTTGCACTGGCCGCTTTGATAATGGAGGAATACAGGTGCCTCCAAAAACTGAACCAGGCAAGAAAACAGATTCTCCCCTCAGAGCCTCAGCAGAACCAGCCCTGCTGAAACCTTGATTTTAGCCCAGAGAAACAGATTTGAGACTTTCAACCTCTAGAGCTGTAAAACAGTACATTTCTGTTGTTTTAAGCCACAAAAAGTTTGGCAATTTGTTAGAGCAACAAAAGGACACCAATACACACTCTGAAATATAAATTCCACGAGAGGTGGTCAATTTTCTGCCCACCACTTTTTCCCCAGTGCCTACAGCAGTGTCTGGTACAGCAAGCACTCAAGCAATTGTCGAGTAAATTAACAAGTGCCAATTCCAACTGCTTGCTAACAGAGTCTGCCAAACAAAGGCAAAAGCATGAGGAAATCATATCCTGACTTAAAGTGCACGAACCATGACAGAGATGTCACCACTGAAGGAGGTGGCAGCACAGAATTTCTGACCCTGAGAGTGAGGCACTAACATGCGTGCCCACGAGCCAGACTCTGTGCTAGATGCTTTATATATATGATCCCATTTGATCCTCACAACAGTCTTCCCAGCAAATGTCATTTCCATCTCATAAATGAGATCCTTAGAGACGAAGAAATTTGCCCAATGTGTCAAGAATTGAACCCAGGAGTAAATGATTACAAAGCTCCTGCTTTTCTCACAATACCATACCTAGTAACTCACATTTCAAAGAACAGTTGACCCTTGGAACATCATGGGTTTGAAACGTAATCCACTTACACAAATTTTTTTCAATAAATATGCTACTATAAACGTATTTTCTCTTGTTATGATTTTTAAATTTTATTTATTGATTGAGAGAGAGAGTGCACTCGTAAGAGAGAACAGGGGATGAGCATAGGGGGAGGGAGAGAATCTCAAGCCAACTCAGCGCTGGGCGCAAGCCTGACAAAGAGCTCAATCTCACAACCCTGAGATCATGACCTGAGCCGAAATCAAGAGTCTGACGCTTAAACCAACCAAGCCACCCAGGCGCCCCATTCCTTATGATTTTAATATTTTTTCTCTAGCTTCCTTTATGGTAAGAATATAGTATATAATACATATACAAAATAGGTTTCAATTGACTCTTTATGTTCATGGTAAGGCTTCTGGTCAACAGCAGGCTATTAAGTTTGGGGAGAGTCAAAAGTTACACTGAATTTTTGACTGTGCAGCAGGGATGGTGTCCCTAACCCCGACTGTTCAAGAGTCAACTGTACTTGTCACATAGATTTTCTAATTTTATCCTTATTGTAAACTTAAGAGACAGGTATTATTCCCACTTAGCAAGTCAAAAACCAAAGGTTGAAAGGTTTAGTAACTTGCCCAAAGTCTCTAGGATGTTAGTCAGGATTTGATGCCAGGTGCTTTGATCAGAAAAGTGGTTCTGTTACACAATAAAGTTCTAGTTAAAAATTTTTCTGCAATATTCTTCTAAAATTCAAATGATTTTATTAAACCTGTGAAATTTAAGCCACTCTCATTATATTACTAGAAAAACAGTAGATCTGCAGGTTGGCTCATAACCTATCTCTGTAATTGTCTATCGGTCAATTCTTTTTTCTTCAAAGTAAGCAGTCACTTTAATTTCAAAGTGATGAGGCAACTGAGGTGTCACAATAACCAGTAAAAATACAGACAAGTGGTCATGATTTATATGTTAAAAGCTATAACTTTAGGGCGCCTGGGTGGCTCAGTCAGTTAAATATCTGCCTTTGGCTCAGGTCATGATCCCAGGGTCCTGGGATTGAGTCCCACCATCGGGCTCCCTGCTCAGTGGGGAATCTGCTTCTCCCTCCCCCTTTGTTCCTCCTCCCCACTCGTTCTCTCTCTAATAAATAAAAATCTTTAAAAAAAATTTTAAAAAGCTACAACTTTAGGGAAGGCCCCCAAAACTACCATCCCCCTAAACCTGTACATGCTCTATTAATGCTTTTAGTCAAGTCTCCAATACTCTCAGTAAAGAGACAGGCACTTAACAGAGCCATTTGGTGATGAGTAAAAAAGGGAGGCAGGATCCTGTTGCTACTAAGAAATTATTTTCCTCTAATGGCAAATCTCTGGAAAACCCAGGAACTTGGTTGGGAAAGACAGGCTAAAGTGAGGATCAGCAAGACCAAATGATACTCCCATGGACTGCTAAATAAATCAAAGAGTGGTAGACACCAGGAGGGTTAGTATTCCTTCACATGAAAATGGGGAAGGAATGGCTACTTCAGAAAACAACTTAACATTCATGAGAAATTTCTATTTTGGCTAAAAACCTCAACTATTACTGAAGAAACTTCTCCACCGCATACATTAAGATTACTCCTGTCAATCTTGACGTCATTTATTTAGTCTTTGGACTTCCCTTCCCTGCACCACACTAGACTTAGTAGGAAAACTTGTTACTTCTATGCAAAACAGATACTTATCCATTTGCCAAATCATGCCTAATGGCAAAATCTACTACTACCAAAGATTAAGTTCCTATAGGGATCAAGAAAAGCAGCCTACAGGCGCCTGGCTGGCTACACAAGTCAATACAGCATGCAACTCTTGATCTCTGGGTCCTGAGTTTGAGCCCCACATAGGGAATGGAGCCTATTTAAAAAAAAAAGGGGGGGGGGCGCCTGGGTGGCTCAGTTGGTTAAGCGACTACCTTTGGCTCAGGTCATGATCCTGGAGTCCCGGGATCGAGTCCCGCATCGGGCTCCCTGCTCGGCAGGGAGTCTGCTTCTCCCTCTCCCACTCCCTGTTTGTGTTCCCTCTCTCACTGTGTCTTTCTCTGTCAAATAAATAAATAAATAAAATCTTTAAAAAATAAATAAATAAATAAAAAGAAGAAGAAGAAAGAAAAACAGCTTATTTAGGCATGCTCTATACCTTCAAAACTGTTTTCTTAAAGACCCAAATTTTTGGCATAACCTCAAAATAAGGTTGTAATTTATAACCTTAAAACAACTGCAAGCAACAAAAAGAAAAAAAAAGCTTTTATGGTTAAGTAAAGAACATTTAGGTAAGTTAATTACATATCTCAGTTAAAGAGAGATCATTTCCAGGCATTGAAAGCCTGAATAAGAAACACAAAATTGAACTGGGAATATTCAAGGCTGTTACATAATGAAACACCACTGATTCTGAAGGTCACTCTGTGCACTAGCAGAAATTACAAGTGTTTGGACACTAGAGGCTAGAGAAGAAATCAACCAACTAGATAAAGACTGTAACTGGTTTTGTGTTTGAAATAATCTGACAAAAGTATCATCTACCTCTGAGGATACTAATAGATAAGGTAATTCAGTTTTTGCCCAGTTTAACATTCAAATGGAAGTTTTCAAAAAAAAAAAAATCTCATGATTCTCTGGAGCCATAACTTCTCACAATTCCATGTATTTGGCCTCCATATTCCCCTGGCCAGAATCCCTTTCCTATCTTTGACCAAACCCTACTCACCTTTCAGCATGCACTTAATTGATGCCTCCCCTAATAAAAGTAGAACGTCTCTACAGTAGATAAGTCTAATCACAGGAGAAATTATTTAGAATATGGATACCCACTCATTAATCTTACTTAGTCCTCCTTGCAATGAAGCATGACATCTGGATTTTTTTTATAGTATTAACATTGCTTATTCACTGCCCTACGGATAAGGTCTTTCTTGACCATTTTTTTTCCCCCCACTCTTCCCCCAACCTTGTCAGGAGCCCCATTTGTCCGGAGCCCCATACAGGTTCCCTGTAACAGAGAAAGCAATGCACTATCACAGAGCATCACAAAACTAATTTTTTTATAAATTATCAAATGCCTCTTATGAAATTCAGAGCTGATTTTTATTGATAAAGTCTTAAAGGGCATTCAAAAAAATCTTCCACAACATGCCAGTGAATAATTTTTAATTACAGAAGATTGTGACAACGTTATAAACTACCAAAAAAAATACACTGCACAGTAAAACAATTTCTGGTGTTTTTGAAAATACTTTTTCACTTTACATGAAATACAATTATTTGCTTCTGCTTGATTTTACTCTCCATTTTGAGATACTTTAGAAAAGTCACAAAATGCATCCTATACTAAGAACAAAAATTCCTAGTATGAGTTTGTGATCATGGCCTCTGAAATTTCAAAAGTTGCCACAATATTTTTCCAGTCCTGTAAACTCAAAGATATAACTCCTTGTTTCCTGCCATGAGAACTGGGATCATTTCCCTCACCCACTTGGTTAATATTAATCGGCTCTAATATCGGCAGCCTGTCTTGGTCAAGCCTTATTCTCGCAAAACCATCCCTTATAATGAAAGAAACATAAAATATATTCTCCACAGTACGAGAAAAAGAGTTTGGATCAATCACAAACTCAAAATAGGACACGGGAGTATCAGGATACTTTAGAAAGTAAGTTTGCAACAATCCCAAGATTCTTTCTACTTCTTTTTCTGTTGCTTCTTGATTATTACTCATGTCCAACTTCCTCAGTTTTGTAGGCATATCCCCATTTTCTTCCATTTTGTGAGCTTTTTTGTGGTGTTCAAGTCGGGGCTTTGGTGCAGGTTTGGATTTGAATGAACCAAAAATAAAGTGGAATGTTTCAGCTTGCAATATCCAGGATGTTGCTTCCTTCTGTACGGTCTCCCAGAAGGAAAGAGCTATATTATCATCACAGCCACTCAATTCATCATGTTCATCATCTTCCATCCAGTCTAGACCCACAAATATAAACAGAAAGTCACAAAACGCTACTTGATTAAAAAAGCTCATATCACAGTTTAGTTGCTTTGCTTTTTCTTTACCCAAATTAGAAGCCAAAACAAGAAACTGGGCATCGAGAGCTGCTTCTCTTGTTCGGCTCACTTCATCAAACAGGACGTCGGCTTCTTCGAGAGCGTCGGTTAACGAGTCGCTCGCGGGGTTCACAATGTCATCACGGTTCTGCTGGACGTTATGGATGAGCTGCCGGTACTGCTTGCGGATTTTCCGGCATTTCTCCTCGTCATCCGTAAGCCCTAGGAGGTGGGGGTCTAGGTCGGCCTCCCCACAGCTGAGGTCGTCAGAGCAGCCATCAGCCCCCACCACCACTTCCACCTTCATCGGTTCTTCCCCATCATCCGCCTGCTTCACAGAGTACGCGCTAGCAGCGATGGTCCCCTCTGGCTCCTCTCCTTTCTCTACGCCTCTCCCCAGGGAACCTTTCTCAGCAGACATTTCGGCGACCAGCGCACTCGGTGGACACTCAGCTAACGGCCTTCGCAACGTTTCCGACAACAGCGGAAACTGAAGGCGGTCTGTCGAAGCCGAGGGTGTCGCCCATGCGCACTGGCCCGCCCCCAGCTCGCTCCACCTCCCGGCGGCCCCGCCCCGCGGAGCCCAGACCCAGCGCGTTCGAACCCACCGCACCCACCTGCCTGCGGCGCACAGAATGCGCGCAATAATGGGTCCCCTCTCCATGTTGGAATAATACCTGCTCAAGTGATAGCTATTATTTATTTTAGCAGTTACTGACAGTGTCATCTAGCTTTCTAAGAAATACCTGGAAAACCTTACGCCAAAATTGGGGGGGGGGCGCCAAAGGTCCTGCGCTTTAAAACATTTGCCATCACACACTGCAGTTAGGTCAACCTATGTTTTTCGTTCTTACTATGATTAAAAGGTAGGGTCTCTGGGGTTCTGTTTTTTGAAAACTAAATCTGGCTACGTTGTAAACTGCCCATAAAGCCAAGCATCGCGAGTTGCAGAACGTCCACCACAAATAGGTGGAATTCTCAGGGTTCATTTGCTAGGTGGCTATTTGGACTACATTCTTCATTATACAAATGCATATCAGGTTAATTACCTTCACGGACCCTCAAAAGCCAGACCCCTTCCAACCAACGGAAGAGGCAGACGCCAGGCAAGTGTCTGAGCTAGCGCAGGGGCAAAGGTGGGGGGAATGTCGGGCATTACCCAAGTGACCTTCGGTTCCCCCCCACCCAAGGGTGGAAGAATAAAGTGGGTACAGTCTCTGCAAAAGAGCGGTTTATCTGCAAGCTTGCCAAAAGCTAAAGGCCACAAACTCTGAATGGAGATCAATCTCAACCCTTAAAGGTGATTAAAGAAGATTTTAAACACAATCCGATACAAAAATATGAAAGTGAATGCTGTAAATCAATTGACTACATTGGAAAATTCACCCACTAGTTCACTGGAAATTCACGTACAGTTGGGAGAAAGGGCTTAGCTCATCAGTTTCACAAGGAGCAAAGTATATACAACAATAAGGAATACATTTTGTTTTTAAAGAGAACAAAAAAAGTGCACTCTCAACCCACAAGATCAAAAGCTTTTCACTTCAACACGTGCCCCTTTGCGGGGGGGTGGGGGGGGGACACCACACCACAGACGGGACACCACACTGTGCCACCTGTCAATTCAGGTTTCAAGGCACCAAGGAAGTAAATTAGCCTTACATTCCTTCCTATGAATCTAGACTAGTTCATTTTTTTTTTAAAGATTATTTATTTATTTTAGAGAGAGAGAGAGGAGCAGAGGGAGAGGGACAAGCAGACTCCACGCTGAGCCCCATGCAGGGCCCACAACCCTGAGATCACAACCTGAGCCAAAATCAAGAGTTGGAAGCTCAAATGACTGAGCCACCCAGGTGCCCCCCACCATAATTTTCTTAAGTAGAGGTATAACTCAGGGGAAAAAATATGCTTTTTCCAAAAACACTAGGCATTATGGTTATTCATGCATATATATTACCCTGCTATATTAGACTGAACTTCTCTAAAGCAAGAATCTGGTGTAAAATCTTCCAAGCAAAGCTGTTTTCACAAGGATACATTTGAGTATGCACATTGGAATGTATAAATGAATGTAGATGAGAAACTTTGCTCCAGTACCTACTACAAGTTATTTGGCACAAAAGATTACTTTCACAAATTAGTGGGGAAAAAATAGATCCAACAAACTGAAAATAAAAGCTGACTGCTTTTCAGAAAGTCAACCTTAACTCTTCTCTGAAATAAAGAAAAAGCAAGAGAAAAACAAAGGTGGGCTCCAGTATCACCAAACAGCCATATTTTCCTCCCCAAGTCTGGCCAATTACCTTAGATGAAAACACCCAGTTAATTCCAAGTTCCAAAACTAAAAATGTTTCCTTTTATAGTTAACCATATTCTTGAGAGCTTCTGATATCCTTTTCAAATACAATAAAAGCAATTTATAAGGGAACTCCAAAAAATAAGCCAACTTTCCCACCCTAAGGTGCCTATTTTCTGCTGTCTTAGAGGAGGGAAAACAGGCAGATACCAATTTGCTCTATACAGAGCCTTTCATCTAAGAATTTCAAAATGGCTTAGAAAAATAAATAAATTCTCCCAACCTACTTAGAAAGTATTACTAATACCATTTACAGGGATTTCTCAGGAGATAACAGCCCACACAACTTGCTCAGAGCAACAGAACACATCAAGGCAAGCATCATATTATTAAGTACTGATTTCCAGTACTGAATTCATTCATTCTATGCTAGCTAGATCCCTGTCCCTAAGAACCTTGGTAACATGTAACTTAGATCATCCTCAGAAAGTCATACTTGCATTATATTCTGCCTTTTTTTTTTTAAAGATTTTATTTATTTTTTTGACAGAGAGAGACATAGCGAGAGCAGGAACACAAGCAGGGGGAGTGGGAGAGGGAGAAGCAGGCTGCCCGCAGAGCAGGGAGCCCGATGTGGGACTCGATCCCAGGACCCTGGGATCATGACCTGAGCCGAAGGCAGACACTTAACGACTGAGCCACCCAGGCGTCCTATATTCTGCCTTTTTAACTCTGCCTTTAGAGCACAAGGTTTAAATGTTGCTACAAACTAAAAATCTCGAGTCTAACAATTTTCCTTCATCATTTAAAAAATGGATTTCTATACTTGTGAATCCTGTAATCACTAAATAGCGATTTTCTACCCTGAAGTCCAATTACTCATAATAATTATATAAATGCAGCTTAAAAAGACAGAACAGCAATAACTAATTCAGTTATGCTGGTAAGGGGAGGAGTAAGATGGCGGAGGAGTAGGAGACCTAAATTTCATCTGGTCCCAGGAATTCAGCTAGATAGGCATCAAACCCTTCTGAACACCTACAAACTCAACAGGAGATTGAAGAAAAGAATAGCAGCAACCCTCTGAACAGTTATGCTGGTAAACTTCTCTATGGATTGTAACAGCAAAAATGCACTAGTACTTCAAAGACATCACTGAAGTCTACCATCCTCATTCAGTAAGGCTAGTTCAGGCAACCACGACACACAGCTTGGCCTCCAAGATAATTCAGCTATTCTCCTCCCCCTTTTCCTCTTTCAGGAGTTGCTGCCAAGAACTACATTTCCTTTCTTCTTTTCTTCAGTTCCTTTCTTCCCTACATTTCCTTTCTTCTTTTCTTCAGTTTTTTTAAATTTTATTTTCCAGTCCCTTTGCTGCAAGTTCAAACTCATTCATTCCCAGCTCTTAGGCTCTCTCCCACAATCCCCATCTCACAAACATGAGATGGGTGTCACAGGTTAAAGCCCCCTCTATGGCCAAATAAAAAAAGAACTCACCTAAGGTCCGTGGGGTTTTTACTGCAGGATTAATCTATAACAAATGGGCACAGAAGAGGCCTCTAAGCCATAGCCAGGGGCTAATCAGGTTTGAATCCCACACTCTAGGAGATATGCTTATCCTGCTATTAGCTACCTCCCTGAACTTTTCTGTTCCTTCTTTCACAGCAGTTTTCTCTCCCCTCATTCTGCCAGGGTATCTATTTAACACTTAGCTGAGAAGAGTCTTACTGATAAAAGTGCTAGTTTGATTTGTTGGAGTAGCAGGATGTTAGGTATATTTTCTCTTTCATCTTAATTTCCTTTAAGGTTATGTTTGTGTGTATGTTTTTGCTTTGGTTAGTGTTTTAACATTTAAGGTAAACTTTGCCATGATCAAGGCAGATACCTATTTTTTTAAATAACCATGGACAGGGGAAGGAGGCAAACCTGGGTTCCAATCTTGACCTATTATTAGTTATTAGGGTTCTCTTAGGTAGGTCGCTTAACTGCTCAGCCTCCGGTTTCCTCATCTGAAATGTGGGAATACTACTACTTACACACCATCAAGCTACTCTAAGTACTGAACGAGAATTACGTGACAGATCTAATAATATTTTCAATTATTGAGTCCTTAGTAAGTCTAAATCAACCCAAAGATAGCAAATGTTTATTAATAAACATTAGAAACTAAACAGAAAAAAGTATACAAACCAGTAGCCTCACTCTTGCATGTTGTTTTATGACAGAAAAATATTTTAAAGGTTAAATCCATAAGGAGCAATACAGGAATATATCCCTTATAACTAATACTGGTGAAAAGAAATTTGCCATATAATGCAATTTAAAAACCTACTAAAGTTTCAACTAATGGAAGTGTATATAGCACTTTGAAGAGGTAAAACTCTGTACTAGATAATCTGAAGCAGGGTCTATGAAGAGTCTGAGGTTCTCATGAGTGGTTCCTTGGATTTCAGCACATTCTTTAAAAAACAACAACAACACAGTATCTAAAAGAGGCTTCAAATAACTGTTCTACTCAAATAACATGGCTTTACTGTCAGTTAAGTAAAAGACAAAATGACAGTCAAGTCCCACAAAATAATGTGGACTCAAGCATTCAAATCCCTTGGAGTACATAAAGCCTCCACCCTCTTTGTGATCCGTCTTACACTTCACTGACACCAGAAAACCCAGTGCCGGCTGACTTACCAAGCCTCAAGAACTAACATAAACAAGGGTGTGAGTTGAGAATAGAACCTTTCAAGTTAGGAGAGCAATTACCAACTCTTTTAGGACACACCTCAGAAGTCAGCAATGACCAGGAGCATCATTTTGAGAGACTATGGGGAGGAAGGTACTGGATATGTGGTTTTTAAGGTGCCAGCCTTGCAGGAACTCACTCTGAAAGCCTGGGCTCAAATCAAAACTAGTGCTATATTAGTTTTCATTGATTTTCTTCAGAGTCTGAGTTTCCTCCTTTGTAAAATGAGTCTATTGGATGTCTTCTCTGCCACACAGAGTGATTGTCACTCTTTATAAAAAATCATATACTCGGGGCGCCTGGGTGGCTCAGTTGGTTAGGCGACTGCCTTCGGCTCGGGTCGTGATCCTGGAGTCCCGGGATCGAGTCCCGCATCGGGCTTCCTGCTCAGCAGGGAGTCTGCTTCTCCCTCTGACCTTCCTCCTTCTCATGCTCTCTGTCTCTCATTCTCTCTCTCTCAAATAAATAAATAAAATCTTAAAAAAAAAAAATCATATACAAACATTTGTTGACAAATACATCTTTAAATATATACATTGGCCCTGCAGATTTGTGTTACAGAGAGCAAAGACAGCACCTAGCCCAAAGCTGAGAACACAGGTACTCAATAAATAGTAGCTAAATAAATGTAATGTGACTTCCTTCTCAAATGACCTGGACACACCTGCATAAGACAATGCTGCTGTCATACAGCTCTTTAAAACTGGGAACTGTGTATATGCTGCTTAAAATCTCTCCAGAATATCTTAGGGGTTGGTCTCAGATAGAGCAGTCTACCCTACAAAATCAGACAGCTTGTAGCTAAATACCTCACTCGAAGTGAGTCTCCTCTGGCCCTACCATCATCCATTCATTCAACAAATACTGAATGCAAACTAGGTGTTAAAACACACACACACACACACACACACACACAAGATACAAAAATAAATCATTTTTGTCCTAAAGGAACACATAATTTAGTAGGCACAAAGGAATGCAGTTCCTCTCAGCAAGCATTTAATGAATGAATGCCATTTGCCAGAGCTATGTTAGAAATACCAAGATTTGCATGGGTTCAGGCCTGAATCATGAGCACACATTCACAATGGGGAGATCAGGCATGTATCCCAATAGCTGTAACACAAAGTCAAGTGCCAGCAAGTATGAGTACAACACCATGAACTTCACAGACAGGCCTGGATTCCATTCCTGGTTCTGCCATTTAACTAGCTGTGTAATCTAGCCATGTTCCTTACATTCCCAAGGCCTCCACTGTCTCATCTGTAAAACTAGATAATACCCCCTTCTGCACAGGACCACTGTGAGAATTTAATCACCTAGGTATCACAGCATTTAGAATCTAATGTATAGCAGAGATTCAATAAATGGTAGTTACTATCATTAATAGGTATGCTCTTTTAAATATTTGCTGAACTCTAATTAATATAGACATGGGATCCTAGGCACAAAGAATAAAACTCACTCTGCACTTTTGATAGTAAGCCAAAAAATTTTATTTGGCAGGATTCCTCCTTTTCCAGAGATAAGAATTCATGAGAAAGAACAGGCAAATCTGGCCTTGTACTCTAACACAGGTAGGCAGTTGGAAAAGTCAGTTTGAGCAGGAAGATAAGTCAGAAACTGGAATAAAGAGCTGAATAACGGAGGGAAATTTTAGGGACTCTAGCTGCAACAGTAGTCCCACTTCCGGTAGGTAAGGGAGCAGAGCAAGAGATAACCAGAAAAGCAGGTGGGCGCCAGGCCCTGGAGGAAACAGAATACCTAGCTAAGGAATGTGCTATGTACCCTGCATGCAGAGCTGGGGGCAGGGAAGGAGCAACCAGAAGATGCCTTGAACATCCAGTCCAGATGGAATGGAAGGGGAGGGAGATCAAAAGTGTGAGGCCTGTTAGAGAGACTGCTGAAGCGGTTTAGGCAAGAGGAAATGAGGACCTGGAACAGCCCCAGCAAAAGTTAATAGAGGCAGTGGGCATGTAAGTCAGGCCCTAGCAAGTGAATAGATAGGAGAGGCCAGAAGCAATCTGAAGCCAGGACCAGCAGAATAGTGAAAGAATAGATGAAGAGCAGAAAGGAGGTTTGTGTTGTCACTTAGTTCAAGTGGGAGGAAGAGACATGGAGTCTCAACATGGATTCACAACTACTAAAAATTTTACTACATATATCAGCCCCAGAGAAATTTATTTGCAGTCCTAACAATCCAGGCCTCTTTTAAATCTCATTAGTCCTTACCCTTTACCTTCTTAGGTCAGCCAGAGTCTGTTCACTTCCCTCATCTTCAAAGCAGTCCTCCCATCCCCCTCAGGCCTTAACGTTCTCTCAGCCAAAGTAGGTACACCCCTAATCTCCCCAGAAGGATGTCAGGGGGAAGAATCAAAAGAAATAAAGTTTTCTGCCAATTTTGGTAGAGTATTAAGAAAGGAAGGGGATGGCTGGAGAGTTATTAAATTACCAATAATTTCCCGATGTTTATTCGGTTAAGAGTCTGGTTTCTGGCTTGAAAGTCAGGCTTGAGAGGGGGAGACCTGCCTTTGTTTTAGTGGCTACCCACACAGCCATGGATCATGGGGCCTGAGCTTCACAGCAACAAGATCACACCTGAGCTCTGCCCACAACTGGCATCCAGGTGAATTATGGAGACAATCAGGCACTGCTTTATGCCTGGCATCTCTCCTACTATTGCCTTGAAGAAATTAAGTCCCCTGTTGCTGGCTTTAGTCTTATCTCCCAAGACCATTATCTCAAACTACTAGTCTTAATTATGTCCTGCACTCAGTAATGCCAATAAATACTTTTCCATTCACTTCCCTTATCCTCTCAATTCACCGAATTCTAATTATTTAGCAACCAATCTTGACCAAACTACCTTATACATTAAAGTAAGTCTCAAATGTGATATTTATCCTAAGAATTACCTGAGGGACTGTGCTTAAAATAAATTAAAAGGCAGATCCTAGGCCCTTCCAGAGGGTTTACTTAAGACCTCAGGTAAGGGGCGCCTAGGTGGCTCAGTCGTTAAGCGTCTGCCTTCGGCTCAGGTCATGATCCCAGGGTCCTGGGATCGAGCCCCGCATGGAGCCCTGCATCGGGCTCCCTGCTCCGCGGGAAGCCTGCTTCTCCCTCTCCCACTCCCCCTGCTTGTGTTCCCTCTCTCGCTGTGTCTCTTTCTGTCAAATAAATAAATAAAATCTTTAAAAAAAAAAAAAAAGACCTCAGGTAAAGCCCAGGCATGTACCTTTTTTTTTTTTTTTAAAGATTTTATTTATTTATTTGAGAGAGAGAATGAGAGACAGAGAGCACGAGAGGGAAGAGGGCAGAGGGGGAAGCAGACCCCCCCGCTGAGCAGGGAGCCCGATGTGGGACTCGATCCCGGGACTCCAGGATCATGACCTGAGCCGAAGGCAGTCGCTTAACCAACTGAGCCACCCAGGCGCCCCCAGGCATGTACCTTTAACAAGCACTCCAGGGAATTCTGTGCAGGTGGCCCATACACTGCTTTTTTGAAATACACTTCCTTAAAGCAAGGTAGGCGTTGCTGATGCTCCAGCTACTGTGTTTACTGAGGGGAAAGGGAGACAAAGGAAGAAACAAGAGGAGAAAGGAAAAGCAGGCATTTTGAAGAGCTCCCTCTCCCCCATTTATGTTGCAATTAAAGTATAAAATCTTAAACTTTTTTTTAAGGTGTGGACTTTAGGATTATAACACTAATCCTATAAACACTTAATTCTTCACTAAATAAATGCCTTCCTCCACTCTAACCCAACGTTCCCTAAAGATTTTCAAAACCCATCATTTAGCCCCAAATGTGGGCAACAGTTGGCTGGAAAGTCACAAACATTTCAAATCAGTAGTCTTTACTTCCATGTGTCTCCTTCCATTTCTTACTACTCATTAGAAAGCAAAAATACATGATACAAAAGAGTGGTAAGCTTACTTAAAAGAGATATGCTAAATATTTTTTTTTTATTTTAATTATGACTTGGGGGTATACTTTTCAATCTTGGCACTGCACCTCACTAAATGTCTGAAATTAACTACGATCATATGGACTGAAAACATCAGATCATACCAATAAAGTGGATTCAAAGCTTATAAAAACAGTGATTCATTTTACTCCCACTGATGCTAAAACCAGAACCATCTGTAAAAAGGTCAAATGCCCCTAAAACTTTTTAAGTGCAAATTTATGACACAGGTAGAGAAAACAGAACAATGAGACAGAAAGTAATATTAATAGACCTTTGTCTCAGGGGCGCCTGGGTGGCTCAGTCGTTAAGCGTCTGCCTTCGGCTCAGGTCATGATCCCAGGGTCCTGGGGTCGAGCCCCGCGTCAGGCTCCCTGCTCCGCGGGCAGCCTGCTTCTCCCTCTCCCACTCCCCCTGCTTGTGTTCCCTCTCTGGCTGTCTTTCTCTGTCAAATAAATAAAAAACCCTAAAAAAAAAAAAAAAATAGACCTTTGTCTCATCTTACTTGCAAACTAAAGGTCTGACTAATACAATACACTTTAAATCACACTAAAAGCCTTTTTATCCTTTGTTTCCCATTAAGTTGCTATTTGTTTTTGAAGCCTATCTGCATTTCCTATTCCATTACCCATCCTTCAAAAATGGCAAATAAGATTCTCTTAGAAGAAAAGGTAGCAAATAAAAATGCAAATTAATTTTCTTCCTCATATGCACATATCTAAGTAGATTTTTACATTTAACGGAGGCCTCAGGTTTACTTCTAAGAAGGCAATGTTCCAGTATGAGTTCCATTTCTTAAAAATTACATGGATACAAACAGATAAGGACAAAAAAGATCATCAGCAAAAATTAAAGCAAATGTATCAAGGTGATGAGATTATGAGGCTTTCTAACCTGGTAGCCAACCATACCCGGTCTGTGTTGGGTATCCTCCTAAACATTCACCCCGCCTCCAAGCATTTTGCCAGTACCATAGCCAGACCCATCCACCCGACCCCACGGTGCACGGTCCTAAGGGAGGGGTGCCATCACGCTTGCCACCAGCCAAAGGAAAGGTTTCTTTCTCTCCTTTCCCTCCACCCAACTGTTAACTCTGGGCCAGAAGAGATACCTGAAGGGAAATGAACTCACTCCTGAAGCTTGCAGATTGCTTTCCCCAGAGCCTGGGGCTCCTGGGTTTCCCTCCCAGAGAATTAAAGAGAAAGATGATAGGGATGGACGAAGATATGCCTTTCCTGATCCCCTTTTCTCAGTACTTCTCCAAAAAACTCACTTTCAGCAGTTTACACTGCTGCTGGATAATTTTAAGTTATCTAGATTGATTAGGAGGGGCTAAGGAAGGCAACGCAGGAGGAAACACATCTCCTGAACACGTGTTTTAAAAGATGAAAAGTTACATATTCCCTACCAAGCTCCCGAGTTCTGAATTTACCCGCCGACTCATCAATTTCCATCGACACGTGAGCTGGCCCCTGTGCGCTTCTTTGTCGTTTTTAAGGACATGCTCCGTGTGGAGGTCCGTTCACATCCACCCCGGCCTTGAAGGAGGGCCGCGAGCACGGCGGGCCCGACCAGCTCATTCCCAGGGCAGGCGGGTAAAGAACGTTAATGCCCCCACCTACCCTCAGGGTTGGACCATGGCCGCCTATCTTTCGCCGCTTCACGAACACCACGGGCACGTCGGTTTCCGAGGTCAGCTGCGAGAGCGCTCTCTCCAGGCCCCTGGCGTCCTCCGCGGCACAAAAGCAGCGAGGGGCGCGGGTCAGGCCCGCCGACCCGGCCGCGGCGGGAAGTGCGCGGCAGGGGCGGGGCTTCCGCGTCCCCAACCACGCGGCCGGGGGAAGCCCGCACGCCGCCCCCGCCGGCCGCCGCCCCTCCGCCCTCCCGCCCGGCCCCCCGCACACCGGCGCGCGCTGGCCGCGGCGCCTCCGGCCGCCTCCGGACGCCGGAGAGCCGGCCGCGCTCAAGTGCTGGCCGCCTCGCGGGAGCGGGCGCTCCGGATCCTGGTCAACCCCCAATGCACACGGCCTCGCACGGGAGACAGGCAGCTCCGCTTCTATAAAACGCCTCCCGAAGTAATCTGCCTTTGAACTCTGCATCTATACAGAATGCCAAAAGCCAGCTTCCCAGATTTAACCACGAGGCAAAATTAGGAACACTCTGCCCTCTTCGGGGGCTTTCATTTCAGAACCTTGAAGCCATACAGCATCACGCTGCTTGACAGACCGGGAGCTAATGGCCCAATTTTACAAACGGGTGAACTCAGGTAGGTAGTGAGTCACTGATGGAATTAAAAATAGACTCCAGTTACTCTAACATCATCAGGCCCATTCATGAGGCAGAAATCACACCGACACTCAGAAGTGCGGCTGTCTAACAATAATGGCAGCTAGCACTTCTTCGGTGCTTTGCACGTATCGACACTTCATCTCCACAACTGCTCATCTGAAGGAGGTCCCAGCGGGTCCGCTTCACCCGAGTTCAACTGGCCAGAAAGTCCACAGCAGAGCCATGGCTCGAACCCAGGCGGGGCCGTGCGCCCTTCTTCACCGCCACCCAGTACTGCCCGATACAGCGAGACACGCGCTGGGTGCCCTCGCAAGCTGTCCCGGTTCAGAGGCTGGGGCAAGTCACGTGATTCTGAGCCTCGGTTTCCCCAACTGTAAATAGGGAGATACAGACGATTTGCCAGCTCAGGATTTCCGGGGATTAAATGATGCGAACATTTCTTAAGAGCCCTTTTTAAATCGTTATACTCCCTCGTTATACTCGAGGATCTGTCAATCTACTTGTCACATTATCATCCACGTTCCGATACTCGTGCAGTAGGGAACCATACAAACACTTTTTTTTTTCCACCTTTCTGCACACTGTCTCTACAGAGAGCTAGCGGAAGGAAGCCACCAGCCGACCGGGGCCGGCCTGTCTCACCCACCCCAGGCTAAGCTTTCACCGACCCACGCGCAACAATAACGCGGCCAAGAAGCTCACCGCCTTAGAAAAGCTTCACCCCCACTCAGACACACCTCAGAACGTCTCCCCTTTCCGCGATCCAAAGCGCACCTGGCAGGCGGCTGCCCCCGTCCCCGGCCTCACAGCCCAGGGGCTCGGAGCTCTGCCCGGTTTCCGTGAACCCACCGCTGGCGTGAACCCGAGCGCCGGGGCACCAGGCTCTTCCCGCGGGCGGCCCCCGCCTTCCGCTCCGAGGCGCTGCGGACTACTGGGGAGCGCGGCGAAAGGGTGGCGGGCTCCCCGCGGCCACCAGAAGCCACGCCCTGCTCGGGCCGGTCGCCAGAGTCAGAATGACAAAGCAGAAATCCACTCCCGTGCAGCCCTGCCGACTACGCCGACGGGCTTTGCGCAGTGGGACCTCCTAATTGGGTGACACCACATCCTCTTCCTGCTCATAGCGCCCCCAACCCGAGAAAAGAGCAAAAACAATGCGAGCAATGTTTGGAACCAGAACCCAAAAGAAGAGTGTTTTAACGAAACAAAACTGGACTATGCCCTAAGGCAGTGACTCCGGAACTTTGCTGCCCATTGTAATCACGAGAGGCCCTTTAAAAATACTGACGCCTGGTTCCCACTCCCAGACATTCTGAGGTAATAGGTATTGGGTGCAACCTGGGCATCTGAGGTGGTGGTTGTTGTTGTTTTTTAATTCCCTGGGTGATTCTAGTGAACAGCAAAGTTTGGGACCCATTGCCCTAAGGTAATAGATTAGTCAGTCTGGCAATTCTCTAAAGGAAATTATCAGGCTTTTAAAAGAAACATCTAACTCATGCCAGGTAATCCTGAAAAGTGACAAATTCTCACCAGCACATAACTTCCCCTATATCCTTCCTCCTTAACCCACTCAGGTTTTGGTTTGTTGTGTTTGTTTTAGGGAAAACAGTATATTTGACTCCAGCCATGCCAAACCATAAGCCATGCTCTCTCATACTTCCTGCTCTTACTCATATTCTTACTCAGCACCTTGCATCAGTAGGTAGCTACGAATATTTGCTGAATAAATAAATGAGTGAATGAATGTCTCTCCCACTTCTTTGTCTGGATACTGGCCCACTGAAGCACGCTGGGGTGAAGGACTGTTGGTTTCTTAAGGTTCCAAAGCACAAGTTAGAGGCTTGGTATATAGCCT